TAAGTTTGAAAATTACAAAAAAACCACCCCTCCCAGTTTTGATAATTATTAAAAAAATAAAAAAATAAAATAGTTTTTGAATAACTCGGTGTGATTTTTTTTTATTTTTTTTTAATTTGTTTGCACTTTGAAAGCTCAAAAATAGGTTAGAGGGTAGTAGAAAATAACAATTTAATTTTTTATTTTGCATCCTGAAAAAAAAATCCAGTAAAAAGATAAATTTGCCTTCTTTAAATTTTTAAGATTCAATTGAGGGTGCATTGTGAATGATTTATTGTGTTTCAAGTGTGGTATAGTATTACTAATTATTTCCGAGGGTATAAAAGGATGTAAAGTGGAATAAAGCCAATTAATTATTCTCACGTGTTAAGCCGAATTGCCCAATTCTCGAAGAGAGGGATATAGAAGGAAATAAATCACCAATTACAATTAAGGGCAGAATCAAAATAAAATAATGAAAAATATAACTGTAGCGCAAATATCTCAACAAAATTCTTTTATAAAAGAAAAAAAGTACTCTTCTTCTCCAGAATCAGGATTTTAAGTAACCGTTTTCTCTCTCTAGAAACCCTAATTTTTTTTCATCATCTCTCGAATCAAACCCTTTGTTTCTCTCTCTACCCATGGATTGTGACGTACCAGTTGATGATTACTGCAACGCAAGGCAAGACAATAATCTCGAAATCCCAGAAAATATTCATTCGACCGATCACTTCTTCATTGTATTCGAAGTCGATACAACTTACCCTCGTAGTTTTTATTATAATAATAATCAAGAAGAAGAAGAAGATGATTTTGAAGAAGATGAATTTGTAAGAGTTGAAAGCAAAGATTCATTCTGGGTCCGATGTCCGAGAACCGAACACGAAAACTTGTCGAGGGATACTATTTCGGACATGCTTACACAGGCTGGGGTTCCTATTCACAAGCAAGATTTCATGGTGGATGCAATATCTGACTGTGCAGATGAGATTGCCAACTCAGCATTCAACGATGGCGTTAGGGTTCTTCCGATGCTCGTCTCCGTCAGCACCGTTGCTTGTTTTTGTTATCGCGAAGAAATAATTTAATGATTTGTCATTAGATAAGAAGTAAACTAATTATAGGAAATAAACATGTTATGTGTGTGATTTGATCTTTGATCTTGGTTTTCCTTTTATTGTTCTTTGTATTATATTTTTCATGTAGGTTTGTTTGTTTGTTATGGGGATATAAATCATTTTTCAAATTGTTGATTCAAATTTGTTATGAAGATGTGAAAGAAATTGGTTTTGATCATTAGAATTAAATTGGTGTGGAAAATTTTTGTGCATGATTTGGTGTTTGATGATCTTGATTTCCCTTTTAATGTTCTTGTACAAGTTCAAATATTCTATCATGTATATTGATTATTCTGAGTTTGAATAATAGTTTTCACTGGGTGTGGCCTTCTTTTTTTTGTTTGTTTTTTTAATTTACTTTAATTTTTTTTCTTGATTAATATTAATTCGCAATATTTTATTACTTATGAATTATGATGTACTAATATTCACATTAGTCAAAGATTAATATATATGTAAAAAAGGAACTTAGATAATTTAAGAATTTGTTTCAACTCCCATCTCGAATATTCATTTTTTTAGTTTTCATATATTTTAAATTAATAGATATATTCGACTGTATTTAATAAAATAATTTGAAGTTTAAATGAATAAATTAATTTTGTACAAACTCCTCTTGTGTTGCTGAACTATGCACCAAATTTCTCTATATTACAAAAATCTTGCATAAAATCCCTTATAGAGTTAACGGTTTCATGCAGAAAAAACGAAACACATGGGGGTTTTCGCAATAAAAAAAAACATAGGGGATACTTTTTCACAACACAAGGGAGTTTTATGCTGTTTACCCATATAATCGTCTCTTTTAAAAATATTTTTGTTCCTTATTATATGTGACCTTAGATTTTAATACTACATTAAATGCATTTTTCCTATTTTAGCCGTATTAATTCAACTCTAAGGTTATTAAATGATTAAGGTTATTTTAGTGTTTTTAATGTATTTTTCGTAAAATCAAAATATATTTATTGACATCCTTAATACTTGTGCAAAGCCGAAAAACGACAACTAGTTATAACTTCCCAATATTTCATTACTTAATTATGATGTACCAATATTCACAGAGTCAAGATTAGTATAACTCCCTAACATTACATTACTTAATTATCATGTACTAATATTCACATAGTCAAGATTCGTATAACTCCCTAATATTTCATTACTTAATTATGATGTACTAATATTCACATAGTCAAGATCAGTATAACTCCCTAAATATCGGTTAATCTACCTGGCCAGATTCTGGCTGGCCAGAACTGGTAATTATGTAATTTTGTGAAAATGTAATTAAGTTTAATTACTATCCTACCCTTCAATATTTAAAACAGATTTCAATCAATTTGAATTTGATTTTATTTTATTTCTCTCTCTACGTTATTATTAGGATTTCAAGTTTCAATTAACATTAATAAAATATTGGGTTTATTATGCTCTCTATTTGTGGGTTTATTAAGTATTAAACCTTAACCACACAAATGGCTAGTTGCTGTACCAACACCAACTTTTTTTTTTCTTTTTTCCCTTGTATAAGTGAATTTAGTTTACATAAAATACAAAATAAAAATAAAATAAGAGTCCAAAACTTAAATACATAAATGAGTGCACAGCAAATTATGATGTCAGACCATACAAACTGGATATTATACCTTAATCTTATTTTATAAATTTACGATGTCGTTATACTACAACAACAACAACAACAACAACAATAATAATAATAATAATAATAATAATAATAATAATAGATGTTTGAAACCAGCCGTTGGGAAAAAGAAGAATTATTAGAATTATTATTGATAATATTATTGTTGTTGTTGTTATTGTTCTTATTATAATAATAATAATATTAACAAATATCTATTTTTTTTCCCGAATTTTATTTTGATAATGAAAACGACGATTTATTAATATTTCGCCCGAAATTTATTAACAAATATCTATATTAGATAATTATAATGATGTAAATTATTATTTTTATCATAATCTATAAATGAAAAGTAATATAAATAATTTATAACATAATCTACAAGTAACAATTATATAATATAACATGATCTATTTTACTCAATAGTAATCCAATATAGGACGGCTTGGCATGTATCGGCTTTATCGGCCAACCGATCCACTTTCGACGCGCTTCTTTCGGTCGTTTCACTTACCCATATATTAATGGGTTGGTTGGTGGGTTTTAATTTACTCAAAAGTCGACCACATTGGCCAACCGACTTTTTTAATAATTTTTTTATATAAATATTTATTTGTGATTCTTATTTTTTTTTTAAATAATATATAAAGAGCAAAAACTCAAAAACTCAAAACACAAATTTATAAAAATCTGCACACTATTTCTTTTCTTTTTTTTTTTTTTTTTGGGAAACATACTATTTCTATTAATTTTAAAGTTAAGATTTTTACGAACATAAGTTTTCCCAGATTATTGAATACCTTTTGAAAAAACTTTTAAAAACATATTATTATTGTAAAATAAACATTAAAAATAAAGAAAATAAATAAATAAATAGATGGCCGATAATACCTACCAACTCACCCATTGTTTATCCGTCAAAGTCGGTTGCCAACTATTAATCGACTCATAATGGTCGGGCCGATAATAATTTTTAATTTTCAGCAAAATCGGATAGTCGTATTGGGTTGATATATAATTGGTTAATAATTATCCAACCCGAACCATGTCCAGCCCTAATCCAATATTATATGATGTGATGTACTTTCTTGAATCATATACAACATTTACATTATCGTAGTCATCCAGCATAATTATCAAAAGTAGATTGATATATACTAATAGTATATATACTACTATATTATTTACAGATTGATATATACTACTGTTGGTATTGGACATATACTGATTATATAGATTTATATAATTAGACATATGCGTTATGTAAGATGATAAGATTTGACATATATGTGGATGACAATTGATTAGATACAATTATATAGTTAGACTATAGTATATTATAAAGATTGGTTTAGTTAAACTATATAATAATAATAATAATAATAATAATAATAATAATAATAATAATAATAATAATAATAATAATAATAATAATAATAATAATAATAATAATAATAATAATAATAATAATAATAATAAAAAACAAAAAAGGCATGAGAAATGAAAGGTCTCACATTTATTATCCCACCATCATTGACTATCCCACCCTTCATTATATGCTCCAACCGTTCCAACTTTCTTAATGACAAATTAGGAGGAAAATTAGGGAGGTAAATTAAGTGCTAAACTTGGAGCATGAAGGATATAAATGGTATAAAGTATAAATAAAAAATAAAAAAATAAAAAAATTTGAATTCTGGCCAACCAGAATCTGGTCATTTAGCAATGTCCCCTAAATATTTCATTACTTAATTATGATTTACCAATATTCAGTCAAGATTAATAATATAAATTCCCGATATTTCATTTCTTGATTATGATGTACTAATATTTAAATGCTGGTGATCACATATTTTCAAACAAAACCAATAATATGATAAAACAAAGTCAATTATCCACCCAACACAAAAAAAATAATACAATAGAACCTCGATAAGTTAATATTTATTAAATTATTAATCACCTCGCTTAAACAATAGTTTCTTATGGTTCCGACTTGGTAAAAATCTACTAAATTATTAATAGTTCGATAATTTAATATTTCACTAAATTAATATAAAAAATTACTAATCCGGACTGTATTTATTTATAGAAGTTTAACCGTACAAGGAAAATTACTTATGATTTTCTTTCATTCCGGTGGTTAGAAATTATATTTGAGGTATTAATATTCACATTAGGCATTTGTTTTTGTTTTTGTTTTTATTTTAAAGAAGAAAAAAAATTCATCAAGAAATAATCTTAACATGGGTGACAAACACAATTACTCAATTAATTAAAAGACAATTAAACACAGGTAACATAAATCAAGAAAGACAACAATATAATGCCCTAAAACATCTAATTAACTAGCAGTAAACCTATAAACCATAGCATGCACATACTTGTCACCCACGTCAACAATCTGCGACGGAAAATTCGGATGATTAACCGAATCGGGAAACCCTTGCGTCTCCAACGCGATCGCAGCGTGTTTCTTGTAAACAAACCCTCCTTTCCCCACAGTATCATTCAACATATTGCTAGTGTAGAACTGCACTCCAATCTGATTGGTCCACAGCTCCATCTTCCTCCCCGATTTCTCGTGCTGAACAACCGCCGCCTTCGTGAAATGATGGATCGGCCCACTCGGTCTATCGAGTACGTAGTTTATGTCGTAGCCGTCGGGGAGTTCGTTGAACTTGCTCCCGATTGTGCGAGGGTGTAGGAAGTCGTACGGTGTACCTTCCACGGGGGATAATTTCCCCGTGGGGATGAGTTTGTCGTTCACGGGGGTGATTTTGGAGGCGAGGAGTTGGATGGTGTGCGAGAAGATGTCCCCGCTGTTGTGGCCGCCGAGATTCCAGTATGTGTGGGAAGCTAGATTCACTGGCGTCGGCTTTGTTAGAGGCGTTGCTTCCATTTTTATCGCGAGCTTGTGTTTCCCGATGAACATGTATGTCACCGTCACGGCTAGTTTGCCCGGGAATCCTGTAAAAATAGGTGGAAATATTAGTGAATGTGTTGAGGAATCTGAAATATTAAATGTTGTTTCAATTTTACTATTACCATTTTGACTTTGAACGTGATTTTGAGACAAAATTGAAGCACGGAAATTGTAGTCTTTCGAGTTAGATTTATAATCCAACTTGAATCAGCAAGATTCGGAAGTCGAATGACAAAGTTATGAATGAATGAGTTTCATTTTGAAATTTTAAATAACTCAAAACATCAAAGTTGTAGCGAGTATTCATATTTTCATGCATATTTTTCTTTCCCTACAACCAATCTTTGTTATTTAAGTTGGATTAGAAATCTAACTCAAAGAACTGAAAAATTTGTGGTTTGAGTTTTGCCAAATTCAGCCTCGAAAATTGTCAATATCACGTACGAAGTCAAGACAATTTTATTAAAACTCAAACGGCATTTATCACATCCGTTGATAAATTTACAAAATTAGATGATGTTTTGTACTTTGAGAGAAGATAGTTTTAATATAGTACTGTAGGTGTCAAATCATTTTTTTTAGAGAAGAATTTTAGAAGTAAGTAATTATTTTGGAAATGGCAAAAATGAACATAGCCTAGAGAACATATATATTTCTTACCTACGTTATTTTTGTTGAAATTAAGATTTCACATGATTGTATGTTTGGTAAAAAGTATATCAAAACATTAACTAATGTTTGAGAAAGTAAGTACATATATGTTTGTATTCTTAGAGAACTCACTTTTAACTACAGCAGTCAAATCATTCCGTCTTTGAAAAAATATCATAATTTTTTGGAGAAGAATTTGAAAATAAGTGATTTGGAAATGGAAATATTAACATAGAGCCTAGATATCATGGTTTTTTGCATTATTAGTGAAATTAAGATTACACATAATAGTGTGTGTGTGTGTGTTTGTGTGTGTGTGTGTGTGTGTGTGTGTGTGTGTGTATGTACCTTGTTCGCCGTCGTGGCTGAGGTAAGTGAGCGTTAAGTGGCTGCGTTTTACGTGCTCTTTGACGGTCCAAATAACGTCGCTAAATCCTTTGCTCCCACCTGAGATTTTCACATGAATTATATTTCAAGTGTTGATTATATGTATATAAATAAATAATCGATCGATAGTTTTTTCGAGCAAGAAAAATCGGTACCATGGAGCGTGTTTCCATGATCATTGGCAGGTAATTTGTAGACTCTGCCATTCAAAGTGAATTTAGCCCCTCCAATTCTATTAGCAACTCTCCCAATAAGCGCACCAAAATAGGTTGTATCATTCTGCCAAAAAATAAAAATAAAATTAAAATTAAAAAATAAAATTCAATTTTAATTTGGTGTTGATTATTAGTAGTGATTTAGGGTGATCAAAGGTATCAGATTTTGTATAAAATCAAATCATAAAATAGATTCCATAAAATGTGCATGATATCAGATCAGCAATAATTTCACCTTGATTCTTGATTCTATGAAATTGAAGCAATTTCAAACATCCATTATTTCATTAAATTCGGATAATTTCCAAAAAAGATGGCGTCAATCATTCATAATTTTTAGAAGTCAAAGTCGGATAGAACGGATCGAACTTAACCATTTTGGAAAATTTTATTTTTTTTTCAAAAATACAAAATTAATTTCAATTTCAGAATTTTCAAAATTTAGAAATTCATCATATTCCAATTCCAAAATCTATGAAATTTCGGAAGTGGGTTTTAAATTTTTCTAAAAAGTTTCAGAAACTTTCATAAATTTTCAAAAATAAGAACTCTCACTTGCATAAAATCATAAAACTAAAAAATACTCATATGATAATTCTTATATTTTAAAAAGTAAATTGCACATAACCCCCTTGTAGTTTGGTCATTATGCACATGACCCCATCTTATTTTCACAAATAGAAGAATTGATAAGATTCATATTGGAATTAAAAAAAAAATTGTTCCAAAATCGAAACTTTTCAGATCATAATCGGCAGAAAATAGAAATTTCATTCCAACTTTCACACCTATAATAATTCTCATGAGACTTACCTTGTAGTCATCAATGGATCCATAACCAAGAACAATGTCATCTAGTTTGCCTAAGAAAAGAAAATATATGTTACATAAAGCCGAAACCGAAAACCGAAAACCGAAACCGAAACCGAAAACTCACCATTTCTATCAGGAACAAGAAGAGAGAGAACAGTGGCGCCATAATTAGTGATCTTAACAGAAAATTTGCCTCTCTGCAAATGATAAATACCGATTTCTTGATCAGAAGAAGCTATACACACATTTAAAATTAGTGCAAAAGCTGCGATGAGAGAGAAACATAAAAGTGATTTTGCCATCTTTTTTCCAACTTAATTATTATTCAAAGAAAAAGCTAGAAGCTGTGTATATATTTCTTAATGTAATTATGGTACCCTATATATAGATAGAGCTGCATAAACAAAATCGATTTGGATAAATCAGAAAAGATTTCGGATTAAGATTTGTGTGTGTGTGTGTGTGTATCTGTGTGTGTGAGAGAGAAGGGGGAATGCATGTATTGACTGTTTGTGTGGATCGTACCGTAATAAATGGTGCATGCTTCTAGATAAGTTTTACTATTTATTTGCTTTTGAAAACGAAAGGCTTTTCCACACACTATAAAACAAAATTTGCGTGTTTTTTTTTTTCTTTTTATAAAATAAAAATATATTTCATATTTTTATTAAAAATAAATTATTGAATTATTCAATAATGGAATTTGATAAATACAAGACGTCTTTTAATAAATGTAGGACATTTTTTATTTCTTTCGGACCCTTACTTCGTCAGAATATCATATTATTAAGTATCAAGAACATAATTTTTCCGTATTTTAAGCGTAATTCAAACTTGTGTTCAATGCATACACCGTTTTTGTTTTTTGTTTTTTGTTTTTCTTTCTTTTTTTTTCTTTTTTTTTTAATTTGTGAAACTTTCTTAGGATGCATTTTTCCACCAATTTTTGTGTCTTTATTTCAACAAAATTCACCAAAAACTTTTCAAAGAAGATAGAAACTTCTACTTTTTTCAAATTGAAGACAAATCTATGGACATATTTTGGGTCCAAATAATTTTTCCTAATTTAATTCTAAATGTTACAAAATATAACTTAATTTGAAATTTCAACAACGCTAACTGTAATAAATTTAAATGTAGGGGTCTTAAGATATAATGAAAGCTTGGTACTTTCCTACTGGAAACGTTATGACAGCAGAGCTTGGCTATCGAACTTCGGCTACGTGGCGAAGTCTTCTGAAAGCTCGGCCCATGTTCGCGCTGGGCTGTTGAGGTGCAAACAATGTCCCACATCGGTTTAATATGAGAAAGATCACTAATTTATAAGGAGGAGATAACAACTCCATTGGTATAAGGCCTTTTGGGGAAACCCAAGAGCAAAACCAATTGGACTCGGCCCAATGTGGACAATATCATACCAATGTGGAGTTTGTGTTTCTTCTGTGTGTTGGTCTTGATATTTGATTATCTTTGTGATTTTGCTGATTCCCGCTAATATTTTGTGTGAATCTGTGTGATATTTGAAAATTGGAATCTTTGTGATTCGATTTTGTTCTGAAATTGTGAATCTTTGCAATTATACTATCTTTGTGATTTTTTGAAAATTTGTGAATTTTTGTGATTCGATTTTGCTAAAGAACATTGAATCTTTGTGATTCTTATTTGTATTGGCCCTGCTGATATTTAATTATGTTTGTGAGTTTGATATCTTGTGATATTTGAAATATGGGATCTATGTATGTGTGTTGGTCCTGCTGATATTTGATTATCTTTGTGATTTTGCTTATTCTTTTATTTATTTATTCCGCTAATATTTTGTGTGAATTTGTGTGATTCTTTATCTTTGTGATATTTGAATCTGTGTGATTCTTTATCTTTGTAATATTTGAAAATTGGAATCTTTGTGATTCGATTTTGCTCTGAAATTGTGAATTTTTGTGATTCTACTATCTTTGTGATTTTTTGAAAATTTGTGAATCTTTGTGATTCGATTTTGATAAAGAACATTTAATCTTTGTGATTCTTATTTGTGTTGGTTCTGCTGATATTTGATTATCTTTGTGAGTTTGCCATCTTTGTGATATTTGAAATATGGGATCTATGTCTGTGTGTTAGTCGTGCTGATATTTGATTATCTTTGTGATTTTGCTGATTCTTTTATTTATTGCTTCCGCTAATATTTTGTGTGAATTTGTGTGATTCTTTATCCTTGTAATATTTGAAAATTGGAATCTTTGTGATTCGATTTTGCTCTGAAATTGTGAATCTTTGTGATTCTACTATCTTTGTGATTTTTTTAAAATTTGTGAATCTTTGTGATTCGATTTTTCTAAAGAACATTGAATCTTTGTGATTCTTATGTGTGTTAGTCCTGTTGATATTTGATTATCTTTGTGAGTTTGCTATCTTTGTGACATTTGAAATATGGGATCTATGTCTATGTTATCTTTGGCCCCTTTCGATGGAAAGGGTGATTTTTCTATTTGGCAACAGAAAATGAGAGGCATTTGAATTCATCAAAAATGTTTAAAGTGATTTCTCTAAGTGAGGAGGTTTTTATAACTGTTGCTAAACGTGAAGAACTAGATGATCTTGCTTATTCTGCTATTATCTTGAACCTTAGTGATTATGTGATTAGAAAAGTAGAAAATCATGATTCTGCTAGAAGTCTTTAGGATAAATTGGAAGAGCTTTATGTTGAAACTTCTTTGTCCAATAAAATATTTTTGCTCGAAAAGTTTTTTGGATTTAAATTGGACTCAAGCAAAAATATTGATGCTAATATGGATCTTTTTACCAAGTTTGTTCAAGATATTAAATTATCTGGTGATAAGAACATTGATAATTATACCCCTATTGTGCTCTTGAATGTTATTCATGATGTTTATAATGATGTTAAGCCTGCTATTAAGTATGGTAGAGATAAGGTTACATTAGATACTGTGATTAATGCTTTAAAAAGCAAAAAGCTTGAATTGAGAATCAATAGGGATAAATCATTTGGTGAGGTTAATTTTACTAAAGGAAGTCAGCCTAATCGATTTCAAAACAACAAGGCTTCTTCTAGTCAAAATGATCTAAATAAGAAAAAAGGGTGGAGATTGGAGTAAGTCGAAGGCTAATCCTAATAAAAGAAGGTGTTTTAACTGCGGTGGCCATAATCATTTTATTAATGAGTGCCCCAAGCCTAAAAAAACCGAGCATAGAGATCAAGCCAATATGATATCTGATGGTGGTGATGTATTCTAATGTGTTAGAATATTTGCATTATTTTGTGTTTTGCTTGTTATTTGCATTACTTTGTGTTTTGCTTGTTATTTGCATTACTTTGTGTTTTGCTTGTTTTTGTATTACTTTGTGTTTTGTTTTTTAAGCTTGTACTAACTTTGTGTTTTGAGTGCAGATAGTGTCATACGGCAGTGATGACTTCGTTTCTCCTAAAAAGATCCCGATGATCCACTTGGGTCAGGTGGAAATTGTAAAGTGTGACCCAAATGAATTCTTTGTGAATGACCCATTAAAAATCCACCTTGCAGCCCACTTACCAGCAGCCCACACACAAAGTCGAGCCCATGGTTTTTTTCATAGAAACCTAATCTCTTTTTTTCCTAAAATCTCTTTTTCTACTCTCGGTGAGTTTAACTCTCCCCTTATTCTTCTCAACCAACAGTGATACCAGGGGTTATATATTCAACGTTTTCTTGGTGAAAAAGTGTGCGAAGAAAAAAAAAGAAGAAAAAATAGAGAATTCGGAGCGTGTGAGCTCCCGGTGGGCAAATGGTAGACGGCTCGACGAGCTCCAGGTGGGAGGCTCGGTGTGCCTTTGTTAGAGACTCGGTGCACTTTGAAACAAAGGTGGTGTGAGCCCCAGGCGCAAATTGAGGGGAGGCTCGATAGTCCTTTGTGGTCCGACCTATGTGATCCTTTGTTCGAGAGGAGGATTGTTGAGGTGCAAACAATGTCCCACATAAATTTAATATGGGAAAGATCACTCCTTTATAAGGAGGGGATAACAACTCCATTAGTCTGAGGTCTTTTGGGGAAACCCAAGAGCAAAATCAGTTGGGCTCGGCTCAATATGGACAATATCATACCAATGTGGAGTTAGTGCTATCCCGGTGGGACCCAACATGGGCATAAGCCCAAGAATTGGGAATGGCAACTCTACAGCAATATGGGGTGATCCTTGGATCCCTGATTGTTCTAACTTCAGGATCCTCTCTACGCGGCCAAGGGATACGGCTTTTCCGGACAGAGTGGCGGACTTAATTGACTCGACTTCTCGATTCTGGAACCTACTGCTTGTGAATAACACGTTTTGGCCAGTTGATCGAAATCGAATTCTTAGTATTCCAATCGACAGTGCAACATCGACGGATCGGATAGATGGGTTTGGCACCACTCTAAGGATGGGAAGTTCTCCGTTCGTTCGTGTTACCAGGCGGCTACCGCTCTTCAGACCGTGTGTAAAGAAAATAGGCAGAATGTGGGCTCAGCTAGTGGCGATCCTCATCAAGCTAAGAGTGGAATTTCATTTGGCATCTCCAACTACCACCTAAGATCCGTAACTTCGTTTGGAGAGCACGTTAGGAATCACTCCCTATAGGTGTGGAACTCTTCCGACGGAAAATGATCTTGTCACCTATGTGTTTCCGTTGCGGTGTCACAGAAGAATCGTTCACACATGCAGTCTCTTGTGGCGGCCCGAACGCTATATGGGCAGCACCTACATTCTCACTTGTTCCTTTCGATCGACGAATTTCCTCTTGATCCTGGCTTTCATCGCTCCGCAATACTCTTTCAATAGAAGAATTAATTCACATTAGCTATGGTGGTGGCTTGGAAGAATTGGGGTTTGAGAAATTGTTTGGTGCATGGTGGGAGTGAAATCACTGATGGTGTCTCCATTGAGTGGTGTGCAGCTTTCCTAGCCAATTATCAACAGCACATGGTGCGAAGAATCATATCATCCAGACCCCGGCTTTCTTCAGTGTGGGCTGCACCAGACCCTGGGTGTATCAAAATTAATACCGACGTAGCTCTAGGTCTGTCGTTCCATACAGTTTCATTAGTGGCTAGAGATCACGATGGCTTATGTCTCGCGTGGGCTGTCAAAAAAATTCCAAACGTTCCATCACCGAATGAGTGCAAAGCTCGAGCAAGCTTAGAGGCAATGAAATTTGCGGTCGATAAGGGATGGTCGGCGGTTATATTTGAAGGTGATTGCTTGGAAGTTATCAACGCTCTCAAGCTCGTCGAGGTGTCAAATGCTTATTACGGAGCATATCTTGACGAGTGCTTCAATATTTTAGATTTTTTTTCGAGTTGCACTTTTTAATTTATTAGACGTAAGAGCAATGTTTTGGCCCACTTGCTTGCCACGAAATATCCCTCTTTTGGTTCGGAAAGCGTTTTGCTTCCTAACGTTTTAATAATAATAATAATAATAATAATAATAAT